TCTGTTCTACTTCCGGGTCCTCTAACTCATATCTGAGTGGTTCGTTTTTGTCGGCTTGTTGTGATGTTTAGATGCTCTCATTGTATGCAGCGAATGACAAGCCGTGTGTCTTCTCCAACAAATCAAAAATCACCTCTATTTCATTCGATAAAACCAAGTGAACCAATTATGCATATTTATCAGTGTGTAACCCAAAAAGGCGTCTTTTTCTTTCTCGGTTAATACGTCCTTGAAGTAGAGTACAAACTTCAGCCAGCATTCTGACGTCATCGTGCGTGTTTTATAATAATATTAATAATCTTTACTGAAACCGTATCCCGGAGTGGGATCTTAGTTGAAAATACAATAAAGTAATACAAAAAGATAGCAAACAAAAACAAAAACAAAACACACATAGACAATTGAAAAGAAGAAGAAGAAGAAAAAAATATTTGGTGGTTGGTTGAGGCATCTGGCATTTTAAGATTTTTTCTTGTCGTAATTTGAAACAAGTGTGGATGAATTTTCCTAGTTCAATGATTGTTTTGTCATTTTTACTTTTTAGTATATTTGTAAGTTTTTCGTCATCCGTCCCCAAGTTGCTTATATTGTATTTAATATTGTTGATCATGATTTCTCGTTCCTTCTTGTATAAATTACAATTGAAAAGAAAATGTTTTTCGTTTTCAATTTACGATAGAAATAGTATAGCAGCTTACATTCATGTGATGTTCCCAGTCAACCGTGAGTGTTCACTTAGCTTACCGGACAATTACAGACATTTGTTGATTAACGTTTTTTAGTAACTTGAAAGATTGTTATCGTAGGTCGATAAGTCGACTAGGTAAATATTTTGTATTACAACAAATATATTGTATGAACGATTGGATATTTTTTGTTGTTCTCAATTATTTCAAAAATCTTGGTTTAAAAAATGTTTGAAACAGTGTTTTATGGAATTGTTCTAAAATAACGATTTGTGAAAAATATTAGAACAAGTTTCCCAAAATATTTCACTGTAACACACAAAAGAATTATATTTCGTGGTACCACCGGACAATAGCTTCACGATTTTACACAATAAACCAATGAACATTGTCATGCGATTTATGACCAATTTTCTCAAAAAATATAACGGTGACAGCGTGTTTGCCAACTACTTACAGTGCGTACTGAGTAAATAAATCCTCACTCCTTTATTTTCTACCTCCATGTGTCAACGTACGTACAGATGATAATCAAGTTCTAATCGCCGAAAACACCATGGACATGTCAGTAGTTACTTTCCAGCTGATTGCCGGGAATCATTGACGTACTGACAAGAGGGAAGTTGTGTCACATGATGACAAATTAATTTCCCACCCAACATAGTTCGATCTATAAACATCTTCTTGTACCAGTGCATATGGACGAAACTGAACGCCGACTTGAAAAGTTTACACATTACACTATAATAATAATTTTATACTTCACGCAACTAATATCACAAATAGCACATTAAATACATATAATTATAGAACGTGGAAAAACATAAGCTCTCTCCACCAAAATCACGAATAAAACATTGAATGAATGTAACCATGGAAGAAACTAACGTACCTTCCATGATGTAACTAAGAATGGAAGAAAAAACATGAAAATTAGTATAACAATAAAACTACTGAGCTACTAAATATGTCATTGCATTGAAACTACCTGCAGACCAATTTGATGGAGTTGTTATGTTTCATCTCTTAAATTCATACTTGTAGAAATGAATTGTGCAGTTTCTATTCCTGCAAAGCTTGTCATAATTAATCGATATTTTTGATCTTCATTCGTTTTCAAGAAGTCAGATTTGTTTCCCTGTATATATTTAAATAATTTATTACGGGGCACGTCATATTTACTGCATCATCCTATCAGGAAATGGTATTCGTATTTCATCATCTGTGCAAAGTTTAGATATTCTTTCATTTCTAGGAATTTTCAGAGATGTTATCCTAATATTTATTTATTAACGATTATTAGCGTACGACGTCAATGTCTACTAGTATTCTATTTTATGGACTGTATTACGTTTCTTTGGTTCAC